TGGTAGATCCCAACATGGAGTTGATTGCCAGTCTCTCATGGGGAATAACTACCACCAGCTGCCCAGCCACTCAACCAGGCCCAGCCAAGTTGACACAAAAACATAATCACCATACCCCTCAACCTTGGGCTTCAGCTCTGCCTCCTGCTCCCAGCCCACTGAAACTAGAGGCTTTTCTTCACTCAGCTGCTGGCTGCTGAGACTGACAAGGTCAAGGTTGACAAGTAAAAAGGCAGAATCCTGATATTACCAAACCACACAGCAGGCCATTAATTCAAGTCCATTGAAAGTCCCAAGATAGGTAGAGCACGGCAGGCTGCTGAACAACGACACGGCTACATGCAGGGTTCAAGCATGCCATAAGCTAGAGACCATTCCCAAAGCTGTTTCTTATATACGGCAAGCAGACCACATACCCAAAGCAGCTACTCAGCTGCTCCAATAGATTGTACCATAGAGTTAATTACAAATCTCACCATGGGGAATAACTACATTCAGCTGCCCAGCCACTCAACCAGGCTCAGCCAAGTTGACACACAGACTTAACCACCACAGGTGGTGAGGGTCCGCTGCTGGGAACCAAACTTCTATGTCAACAAGCACCAAGATGAAGACCCAACATTAAATCCATTGGACAAAAGCGAAAGAACCAAACTCACTACTGTTGAGTCAATTCGACTCATAGTGACTCCTCCTTGGGTTTCTGAGGTGGTATCACTACAGTAGTAGATTGCCCAACCTTCCTTCTGAGGAGCAGCTGGTGGGTTTGAACCACCAGCCTTCTGGTTAGCAGTCAAATGCCTTAGGCACTATGCTACCAGAGCACCCAGAATAATATACAGTAGTTTTTTAAAAAGTGAGGGAGCTCTAAAATATACTAATATAAAAACCTTTTTATCAAAACAGCAAGTTACAGAACAATGTGTAGAGTATGATACCAGGTAGATTACAAGATCTCTTCATAACACAAAACACCTATTTCTAAATGTACAAATTTATGTCTATAAACAAAGAAGAAAAAGATCCAGAGAGAAACACATCAAATACACAATGTGGTTACCTGAGGAGAGGGTGTGGTAGGGGTGGTGACAAAGGGGAATTTAGCTTTGTCTGTAATGTTTGAAGGTTTTACAAGAAAATATTTATGTATTTCTTGCACAGCTGAAAAAATTGCCAGATTGTTGGTCATTTAGGTGGTTTCCATAATTTTTTCCAGAAATAAAGTTCCATTAGGCACATTTTCATGTTTAATTTTCTTCTTTAGATCTGTCTCCTCAGGATAAAGTCCCAGAACCAAGATTGTTGGGTGGAATAAGAATATTATTTTCAACTCTTTACAACAGATTACCAGATTGCTTTATAAAAGAGTCGCTGCATTTATAATGTCATTCCCAGAAGTCTACACTACAAACTCCTGGGAATCCTATTTTACTGAGTTGCTTTTCAACTTCATTCATTCTGCTTTTATATAAAGTCATCAAATTGGGAAGGTGCTCGTGCAAGGTGGCATTGTCTTTGCTGTTCAAGGGTGCTGGTGATGATGCCATACATCTGGCCCGTCAGGCCCCCTGCCTCCAGCAACCGCGAGGAAGCTCAATTTCACCCAGGAAGGCTCAGTTTCACAAAAGTGTCTGTGAGGCTTCCTCATTACTGGTAATATATGATTAATGGAGTTTCTCCTTTTGAACTGGCTGC